TTTTTTTTTTTTAGTATAATATGACACTTATTAAAGTGATTGGAACCCTGGGCTCATTTTATAGATTCACAGAATCATTTAGATTGGAAAAGACCTCCAAGATCATTAAGCCCAACTGTTAGCCTAACACTACCCAGTCCACCACTAAACCATGTCCCTAAGCACCACATCTTTGAAATACTTCCAGGGATGGGGACTCTTACCACTTCCCTGGGCAGCCTGTTGCAATTCTTAAGAACACTTTCAGTGAAGAAATTCTTCCTAATGTCCAATCTAAACCTCCCCTGGTGCAAATTGAGGCCATTCCCTTGTCCTATCACTTCTTACTTGGGAGAAGAGACAGGCGCCCACCTCACTACAACCTCCTCTCAGGTAGTTGTGGAGAGCAGTAAGGTCTCCCCTCAGCCTCCTCTTCTCCAGGCTGAACAACCCCAGTTCCCTCAGCCACTCCTCACAAGACCTGTTCTCCAGGCCCTTCACCAGCTTCATTGCCCTTCTCTGGACACACTCCAGCACCTCAATGTCTTTCTTGCAGTGAGGGGCCCAAAACTGCACACAAGTTTCGAGGTGCTGAGTACAGGGGCATGATCACTTCCGTGGTCCTGCTGGCCACACTATTGCTGATACAGGCCACGATGCAGTTGGCCTTCTTGGCCACCTGGGCACACTGCTGGCTCATGTTCAGCCGGCTGTCGACCAACACCCCCAGGTCCTTTTCTGCCTGGCAGCTTTCCAGCCACTCATCCCCAAGCCTGTAGCGCTGCATGGGGTTGTGGTGACCCAGGTGCAGGACCTGGCACTTGGCCTTGTTTAACCTCATACAATTGACCTCACCCCATCGATCCAGCCTGTCCAGATCCCTCTGCAGAGCCTTCCTGCCCTCGAGCAAATCAACACTCCCACCCAACTTGGTCTTGTCTGCAAGCTGACTGAGGGAGCACTCAATCCCCTCATCCAGATAATCGATAAAGATGTTAAACCAGACCAGTCCCAATACTGAGCCCTGAGGGACACCGCTTGTGACTGGCCACCAACTGGATTTATATACTAATAGCTCAATAAGTGAAGCTTGAGCTGTAGTGTATTAAATTGGTATAAATTAAGTTCACTAAACATACAGTGATACAACTTTTCATTTGCTCAGGAGCACATGGAACACACGTGGCTAGTATTGCAGCTGGATACTTTCCAGAAGAACCAGAACGAAATGGTGTGGCTCCTGGAGCCCAGATTCTTGCAATCAAGATTGGCGATACGAGACTAAGTACAATGGAAACTGGCACTGGTCTCATAAGAGCTGTGGGTATTTCACTAAATAGATTAATCTCAGCAGTGTGACTTAATTGTAGAATATTGTGGAACACTTCCTGCTCTACTTGCTTGTTGAATGTGTGTTTATGGTTCTAGAATATTTCTAACAAAAAAACCCCGAAACGACTAAACAGACCCACACCCCACACCTCTCAAAATAAATCCAAACCAAGCAAAAATAACCCAACCAGAAAAACCCATAAAATCAACCAGAACGTGTTTTAAAACATATCTTAACACTAATTTTTTAATATAAAACAAAACTTCTGTTGCATAGAGCACTTACAGGGTTTTTCAGACTGATAGAGTTACAGTCTGGCTATTCATGGGCTAAGTTAATTGTATGCTTGTTTAAAGTTCCTTATTCTGTGTTGTGTGTATTTTGTTGCGGTTTCTTAGATAACTCTAGAATAAAGACTAGTATCCGCCCATGTGGCTAAGTTTGGTTTATCTTTTTCTTAAGAGTGTGGAAAAATATCATTCCTTTTTAATGATGAAAGGCCCAAGACCATTTCCATATAGTGAGTTGATGGGGAAAAATTTTACACAAGAAAAGGAACTGAAAATAGAAAATTATGTTTGTGGCCCATAGAATATCTTGCGATAGCAACATGAAGATGTACAATAATGTTTTTGTGACTTTTTGGAATTCCACTGCACTGCACAGGAAAGAATTTTATGTTATTGAGGACAGACACTTGAGAATATTAACCATGTCTGCAGTTTTCTCTTAGGGTACTGTCTTAATTTATAGTTTGAAATGCAGCAAGAGTAAGACTGTTCAGGGAGTGGGGTTTTTTATTCTGTTAGTCACTGGGAAAATACCACTTTAACTGATTGACGTTTCTTTGTAGAGTCAAAAGAAACTTATCCCTTTTTCCTAGGTCTGTAGCAGATCAGTTTAAGCAGATTTTTTTGCCGTTCTTGAAGTGACTTGCTCTGACTAGTATGTATTTTGGCTTTTACTTTATCAGATGATAGAAGCAATAAAATACAAATGTGATCTTGTCAACTATAGCTATGGAGAGGCAACACATTGGCCAAATTCTGGGTGAGTACTACTGCGGTTAATGTAAAATATTGTAATATCACTGAAGTAGAATTACGTTTGTTGAGCTTTGTGTAAATGAACTGTCAGTAAGAATGAATTGTTCAGGCCCAAATGATTAATATACGTTAAACTGTAGCAGTTTATATTTTTAACTGTCTTCAAAAGTTAAGTAAACCTATCAAAAGTGCTATTGATTCATAATACAAAGAATATTTTAGAATAATAAGGAAATTTTGTAGTTGGAACACCACAGAATCTGAGGGATTTTTTTTTTAAGACCTAATACTGCTATGTAACTGATACTCTTCTTTAAAAGCAGAAGATTTTTTTTTTGTTTGTGGTCATCTTCTGTACTGGAACAGCCTCTGCTAGGTGTGGGAAGCAGGCTGTATATAATATTCCTCATTCTGCGACTGGTCGCAGAGATTCTACTAGAAATGGGAGTTTTGCCCTGTGGGATGAAAGCAATATTGTTGATTAAATTACTTTTTTTTTTTTTTTTTCCCTCTCTTACATCAGGAGAATTTGTGAAGTGATTAATGAAGCAGTGTGGAAACACAATGTAATCTATGTTTCAAGTGCAGGAAATAATGGCCCTTGCCTTTCTACGGTAGGATGTCCTGGTGGGACTACATCTAGTGTAATAGGTAAGTAATTAGTTTTGAAAAAAATTTTGACAGTATTCACCTTCTGTGTTTTCAAGCTTTGTACTTGTGTTATGTGTTTGAGATCATCAGTTGATTGCTGAACTAAATCTAAAAAAATATCAAAGACTACTGATCTACAAGATTAATTGTGAGGGAGGCACTTGCGGTAAGCTTAGGTATAAAAATTTAGATTGTTATGTTCTTACAATTCAAGATCTTACTTATGTAGAAAACAGAGGTCGGAGGTAGATGGTCTTGATTTGGTGTGGCTTTGTATAAAATTCGCAAAAGAAATCTTTGTGGTCTGAGCTATTTGAAGATTCCAAGATAATTTTTTTAACTGTAACTGTATGAGCACACCACTTCACTCAGACCGTTAGCTGCTGGTAAATGCAACCTAGAAAAAACATAAGGAGGTTGTATACTAATTAATCTTCTGGAACACTCGTAATGCATTCTGAATTGTCAAAACCACAGTTTTAGATCATTTGTCTTCATCAGATACTCTAATTGTATAGTAAATACATATACTCTAATATGTAGTAAAACGAAGCTTTTTAATTTGGATATAAAATAATTTCATGATGTGACCTAGCGAAGTCCTTCCAGGGGAAGAATTCTTTGAGCTGCAGCGCCACTTCTGTGCAAGCCTATTACTGGCATAAAAATATGTTTTTCTGATGGGCTGGTGTATGTTTTTGATATTTCAGTGAAAGATTGAGGTATAAGACTTAGCAAAAAGTCTAGCATTCGGGGGGTAACTTCCCTAATCTTAATTTTTATATGAATCCTCTGATGCTGCATTACACAAGATGCTTGTTAGATCTCCGAATTCTCATGCAAGGAGGCTAGTGTGTAGACTTGAAAGTTGGAGAGACGCTATTTCAGGACAGCTAGTAGAATTAACGCTGATTGCTTTCTAAAAGTTCATCTGCAATTACTCCACTACTGAGACTATGGGTTGGAACTGGAACTAAACAAGCTCGTTTCAGGTCTGCATTGGCTTTGCTCTTACAGTGCATCTGCTCTGTCAGTTCAGCTTACTTGGTGTATCACTGTAGTGAGTGGGTGATCATTCATTCTACATGCAGAGTAGCTTGCTCCTTATCCTCCATCTGGAGTGAACCAGATAGGATTTGTTTGGGTTTTGAGGGTAAAGCAAAATACAGTTGATGGGTTGGCATAGTTCACACAGACAGTATGGACATGGACCTTGCCATATTTGTTTGTCAGCTTGGTATGGTAGTCTTCTACCGTCCTGATAGCGCTTGTGCCGTAAAGAAAAGTGCATGGCATGGATGCGTTGTGCATCCTTGACATAGTGTTCTAAAATACAACTTTATCAGGCTTTGACATAGTTATTTAGATGCTCTGGGTACTTTGAACTGATAGATGGGAAAGTGATGGCTGTCTCATCACTGTGTTTGAGCTGCGTGGATGTGGCCATCTGCTCCAGGTGCTGTAGCTGTGAGCCATGTGAACCTCAACCAATTCCCATAGACTGCTTTGAGGTCTGGTTGGTGTAGTCTGTAACAGTGTAAACACAGCCAAAGGGATGCGGGAGAGAGTGGAGACTTATGTAAAAGTGATCTGTTGTGGAAGAAATGTAGGAGGTGAATACATTCTATTCCAGTTGAATACAAATGAAACTTTGAAATTTGCATAATATTTTAGTATTATACAGTATGACCATCAGCATGGTTACTGCATAGTATGCTGCTTTACATTTGCTTTGTAAGAACGTCTGGATTTAATGTGATGAAAGATGTGTGGTTCCATTTTTAAATGTCAAGCAAAAGTTCTTCTCATAATGAATTTAAAACGCAGAAACATTTTATTTTTTGCTTTTAATACAAATTAATTGTATGTTTAAAATGCTTGAATGATTTTTACAGGTGTTGGTGCCTATGTATCGCCTGATATGATGGTTGCTGAATACTCTTTAAGAGAAAAACTGCCAGCAAATCAATATACTTGGTCATCCAGAGGGCCTAGGTAAGTTATGCTAGAAGAACAAATTCATTACTTTGGTGTTCAGATTATGTAATTCAAAATCTAAAAATTGGTCATTAATACCAGAATAAAAGTATTTCTTTTGCATGGGAAGAGTGTAGGTAGCCTTCAGTTCTTGGAAGTCTTGGAAGCATGTTGGACTCTAGAATTGCTGGGGGAGGGGAGAGACCACTGAACTGCCTCAGCACAACCTGTGAGTTTCAGGAAAGTGTATTTAATGAGCGCAAGCCTATTCAGAGATGATAAGTTATTGAAGAGCTGTCTGGACAGTTGATCTTTTTCTGAAACTTATTTTTTCAGAGGATTTTTTCCATAGCATTTATGGCATTAAATTAGTGTGGTGAAGTTAACTGTTCTATTAGTGTTGAAGATTAAAAGAAATACTGTTACTGCAGTGGTGTTACTTCTGGCTTCATTGACACTGCTGTGATGGCCCAACTAACTCAAAGATTTTGCTGGAGTCCAGTAGAGGTGTGAGTAGGCAGAAAAAAAATGCTTTTCTAACTCACATTATTGAAAATTACCTCAAAGACCTATGAAAGAAAATTTAGGGGCAATGAAAACTTAAGTTTTTATTTCATGTCTCAGAAGCATTCGATAGGCCAATGTGGTAGCCAAAAGAAGAAAAAAAGAATAGCATCTCTTCCTGAGTTCTTGCCTGTGTTTAAACTTTGGAATTGTTACTGCAAGTCGTAGAGCTGCTGTATACTGTCTTTAGGAGTTTAACCTACAATAGTATTGGGTGATGGAAAAAATAAGACATAGCTTGACGTTGGTCCTTGATTTATTTGCTGATTATATAGCAAATGCTTCCCTATTAGCATTGGTCTTTCAAGTTAGCTGTTGTGCTGTTTGTACATTTACAAGCAAGTGTATTTTTCCCA